CACTAATAACTGTTCTAAGTCTAAGTTCTCAAAAGATGTCAAAAAGGAAAGAGTCTTCAGACGCTGAGTTTGTGGAAGAGGGAAAAAGGCTTCTTCTTTATTTCAGCATCAAGTGGCACAGAGAGAGAGACCCAACTGCACAAAGTTCCAAACAACAGTTTATACCATTTATCTGGGGTAAGTTGATATCCCCCCGACTTACTTCTCAAATTTTTATATTAGCTTATTCTCTAGTGGGTGCATCTATTCGTCCATCAATTTGCGCTTACTACTAAACGCTTACTTACTACTACTAACTGGTTTCAAATGGTTTTTACCAGCCTGCTTTACCTTTAAAGGTCAACTTGCCCCTCTTTTCACAGGGTCAGTAAGTACACACAGGCCTATCTGTGAACCCAGGGGCTTTCCAGTGTCTAGAATCTCTTATGCAGACAGACTAAGGCCTACACTTTGTGAGAGAATTAAATATTCTCTGTTAGCCAATACGACCTATTTGGTTATTGATTACAATATCTAATTGATTACTGATTAAGGGAATATTTATTCAAAATCTCTGTCAGCTTGTCTCATATTTAGCCCAGTATTTAGTCTAGTTAGGATGATTCCGTAATACTGTTTTCTTATCTGGATTTAGGATAAGATTATGATCTTATGACCTGTTGCTCTGTAATAGCTTCTGTCCTAAATTGAGTCCTAACTCAAGTTGTTATGGTGAATAAGCAGATAAGATTTCAGACTTAAGAAGTTTCTGTAATACCCATTTTCCCATCACCACTACAACAACAATCCTACAACGCTAGTTTCTCTAGAACAGTGCTTTTCACATCAAACCCCTCTGAAAGACGTTATTTACCATTACGCTGAAATTTTGACAAATTAGATTCCTCTTTAATATATCCTATGGATAAACAGGGGTTATCTCCTTAAGTAAATATTAGGGGTGGGAATCTCTGGGCACCTCACAATTAGATTCGATTAGAGAATTTGAGATTCAGAGGGCTTTGATGTGATTATAAAATGATTATCATTTTTCTAAACATGTTATAGATACATATACATTTCTTATATAAATATACATTTCTTTTTTTCTCACTGTGTGATGACAACACTTTTAAAGCAAAGTATTTGTAATGATCTATAATGAATTTACTTTCAATAGCTTTTAATAATAAAACAAATGGAAGTGATATGGCCAAAGTGCTTCCATACACTACTTTTTAATGCAGAGGGTGCTGATCGGATTTCTCCTCATCCATCTTGTGTCTTTGTTATGTGCACGCCACAGACTGTCTGGGCACTGCACTTCCACGTTTCCAAGTTGTGCTTTATGCGTTCTGCATCTACGTAACGTAACATCACGTTATCAATTAAAATTTAGAAATCGATTTTTGACATTTGTGAATTGATTCAGAATCATTCACGTCCGAATCACGATGCATCTAAGAATCAATTTTTTTTCACACTCCTAGTAAATATCTTTTGCAGGCAGGCATCTTATGAGCATCCAGGATTCTCTTAAATGTAAATCACAGGATCATCTCAAATCTAAATTTAAGTGCATACGTGAGGGAAATGCTCAACAAGGGAATCCAGTCCTTTTAAATGAGATCTTCACAGAGCTACTGATCACAGAAGGAGAGAGTGGAGGTGTCAATAAAGAACATGAAGTCAGATTAATCGAGGAAGCATCAAAGAACAAAGGCATTCGAGAGAACACAATAAAATACAACGACATCTTCAAACCTTTACCTGGACAGAGAACACGCATCAGAACTGTGCTCACAAAGGGCATCACTGGGATCGGGAAAACAGTCTCTGTGCACAAATTCATCCTGGACTGGGCAGAAGGGAAGGCAAACCAGGACATCCACTTCATGTTTCCACTTCCTTTTTGTGATCTGAATTTGAAGGAAAATGACAAATATAGCTTAATTCAACTTCTTCATCAGTACTTTCCAGAACTCAAAGAACGACAAACTATTAATTGTGAGGAAGTGTTTATCTTCTATGGTCTGGATGAGTGCCGACTTCCTCTTGATTTCAAGAACAATGAAATGTGCTGCGACCTGACAAAGAAAACGTCTGTGGATGCGCTGCTAACAAATCTCATTCAGGGGAATATACTTCCCTCTGCTCTCCTCTGGATAACCTCCCGACCAGCAGCAGTCCGTCAGATCCCGCCTGATTGTGTTGACCAGGTTACAGAGGTCCGAGGATTTAAAGACTCTGAGAAGGAGGAGTACTTCCGGAAGAGGTTCAGTGATCCAGAACTTGCTGACAAAATTGTTGCACATGTAAAGTCTTCATGGAGCCTCCACATTATGTGCCACATTTTCTGCCACAGTTCTGGAGAAAATGTTACATAAACCAGACTGTGAAGAAGTGCCTAAAACTCTGACTCAGATGTACACCCACTTTCTTCTTATTCAGACTCAAATGAAGAACAAGAAGTATCATGGAGTGATTCAGGATGGTATGGACATGACAGAATTGGACAAGGAAGTGATCACAAAACTGGGGAAGCTACAGTTGGAGAAGGGAAATCTGATTTTCTGTAAAGCAGATCTAATAGAATGTGGAATCGATGTCAGCAAAGCATCAGAATACTCTTCCGCTTTGTGCACCTGAGCATTCAGGAGCATCTTGCTGCAGTGTACGTGCAACTCAAATTTGTGAATAGCAACATGAATGTACTCAGTCTAGACTCAGAGAGTCAGAGTATTATGAAGATGTCAGATTTGCACAAGAGTGCTGTGGACAGAGCATTGCGAAATGAGAATGGACACTTTGACCTTTTCCTTCACTTTCTTCTTGGACTCTCACTTCAGTCCAATCAGTTTTTTTTTGAGAGGAATACCGTCAAAGGTTTGTGCAGAAGGCTTTGAGGAAACATTGGACCACAATAAGGAGAAGATAAGACAAGAGTCCTCGGCAGAAAAAGCGATCAATCTGTTCCACTGTCTCAGTGAACTGAATTACAACTCTCTGGTGGAAGAAATCCAGAGTTTCCTGAGATCAGGCAGGTATTTAGAGAAGGAACTCAAACCTTACCAGTACTCTGCTCTGGCGTACATGCTGCTTACATCAGAGAATGTGATGAATGAATTTGACTTGAAAATGTGCAACACATCTTTAGAAGGATACCAGAGAATGTTGCCAGTTGTCAGGAGCTCAAAAAGAGCCATGTAAGTTCCAGAAAAATCTTGCAACACATTTTTAAAAAGATGGTTCTACAAGGGTTCTTTAGTAAAGAAAATGATCCTATATAAAACCATGGATAATTAAAGAACCCTTTGTATGATCAAAGGGTTTTTGCATCATGAAAGAGTTTTTCAGATTGATGGAGAATGTGCTGTAGAACCCCAAAAAGGGTTCTTCTATTATTAAGATTTCAAGTTTTTAACAATAGAAGAACCTTTTTTGGTGCTATATAATACTCTTTTAAAAAATGTTTCATATAGAACCATCTACAGCACATTCTCCAACAATGAGAAGAACACTTTCATGATGCAAATGGTTCTTTGAGTGTCCATGGCCCTATATAGAATTCCTTAGTAAGGAATAACTCAGACTAAGAACCCTTGAAGAATCATCTTTTTTTTAAGAGTGTGGTAAACGGAAACTAAGACCATGTATGACTATCTTTTTTCATATGGAGTGATCCCTAGGTGCTCTTAAGTGATTTAAATTTTAACTGAATTCCCACTCCTCACAGTCTTGCTGGTGTGGACCTCACAGACAAATCATGTGAAAGTCTAGCTTCGGTTCTACAATCGTCTAACTCACACTTGAAAGAACTGGACCTCAGCTTCAACAGTCTGGGAGATTTAGGAGTCATGCTTCTCAGTGCTGGGCTCTCAAATCCACATTGTAATATAGATAAACTAAATCTCAGCCACAACAACCTAGAACATGCAGGGTTGAAGATCCTTTGTGACTGCCTGATGAGTCCAGACTGTAAAATTCAGATACTTGGGTTTGTATTTAAAAGTTGTAAATCAAGAGTAGGTCATGTTTAGAAACTTTCTCACTTTAATCTGCCTCACTCCTAGAGGATGTAATAGTCCTGTACTCCTTAAATCCATAAACCTCCCTCTTACTCTGGGGTGTAGCTAGAGCTTTTAGAATGAGGAGGTCATGAGTCTAAGGATTGGAAAACTAGCCAGACAGCACTGGCCAACGCCTCTCCTCTCACTCTATACACAGACACAGAGATGCACACAAACACACATACATATTGCGGTGATGCATATGTAAGACGTGTCAGAATAGTTTGGTATTGTTGGTATATATATATTGTATTGATGGTATATATATATATATATATATATATATATATATATATATATATATATATATATATACATACATTTATATATATATATTAGTATTCTAAAAGTATTTTTCTAAAAAAGGAAAACGTCCACTGTCTTGGTCAAATGAAAGTTAAGTGTAATGCACAGACACATCTCTGGCCATGTTTAGGTGTGTACACAGAAATTATGAATTAATGGGAAGTATTGTCAATAATACAAACAATGTCCTTTTTTGACGACTATCCTGCTACCTGACAAAAATTATCTCACGAAATCAAAAAGTGAGAGGAACATGACAACTTTGTTGTCAGTACTACTCAATGGTCCAGTTCATCTACTTTAACAGTTTGTTTAATAAAAAAAGCACACTGGACCTGATGTAAGGTGTTTAGTGCACTAAAAACACATCCCACTGTTTTCGTCTGTAAAAATCGACTCACTGTAAAAAAAAAAACATCATGAAGATCTCAGAGCTGAGAACACTCATACAAGAGGAAAGGAGGAAAAAAAAAACTTCCAAATTATTATTTTCCAAATGTCTCTGCATTTAAAACAATACAAAAATCTAATTGTATTTATTTATTTCGGTCATTCATTGTTTGTTTACAATTATTATCATGTTATAATAATTCAATAAAGTCATGCCTTAAAAGGAAACGGTGGGGAATTTCATATTTGTCTGTCTTTCTTAAGGCTCTTAACACCGGAACGAAATGTTGTGTTATGTTGAGGATGCCCGGAGCTTTTTCCATGCGCACCGCGTCTCTGCTTGACGGCCATTCAGCAGCTTAAACTGTAATAGGTACGGAATTAATTCAGTTTATTTTTGATTAATTACAGATGGAGAACTTTAGCCAACTGATGTTTTATTATCCTCCAATAACCTATAAGTTTCTGTAGATTTCAGTGTGTTTCCGCCGTGTGAGGAGGTCACTGTTAGCCAGTGTGCTTGGCTGGTTGTGGCTAGGCTAACGTTAGGTGCTAACTGTGTTCTTTACTCCTTAGTGACTCTGACTTTAGTGTGAAATACAAATGAAATGAAAGAGAAGAGTGAAATGAAAGAGAAGACGTTGTAGCGAACAGAAATTGGATTTGCTGGAGCAGTTAACGCTAGTTAGCCTGTTAGCTCGTATCTGCTGCTTTTCACACTGACACTGTCTGTCTGTCTGTTACTCATTCCCTGTCTTTCTCTCTGTTCGTCTGTCTGTCTCACCCTCAGGGCGCTGGACATTGTAGGACTTCGTTTCAGCCCCATTTAAAGCCATGACGCTTTTCCATTTTGGCAACTGTTTTGCCTTGGCGTATTTCCCATACTTCATCACATACAAATGCAGCGGGCTGTAAGTAAAGTCACCTCTTTTGCAAACCTGTAATGTATTGAAATACGGATGTATACTTTAACGGAATAAAGAAATAGGTTCAGTGCTGTAGGTAGTTCTGCCCCAGCGGCAAACCTGTCGGTCATATTTCCCCTGAAGACGTTATTCGGACAGAAATTGCTGCTACTTTTGTGTGGGAGAGGATCTTAGACATAATCCTCTTATGGTATTCCCATATGCCAAACCATAGGCTGCTCTGCGTGATGAAAGCAGCTCTCCAGACAACAGTTTGAGTTACTGTCATCTGCCTGAACAAAGAAAAATGCTTGGCTTTTTGTCATTGTCTGAGGTTCTTGATTACTAAGTACACAATCATTGCAAACACAGGCATATTTATCAGACATGTCTAGAACACTTTTGTGTGGGGATGCACATAAAATCAAAATCATATTGATATCTGCAGACAGTTGCAAAATGATCTGCACTGGAAAGATATTTACATTGGACCAGTACTTCATGATGTATTCATTGAACTCATTGTACAGAAGAAAAGAACATTCGGATGATGCTGGTCTACTGTGATAAAATGTGTTTTATTCATCCTTTTGCATTTGTAGCCCAATAGAAACATAAATTTCTGTGTTACATATATACGTGTGATGAATATGTAATGGATTTTGGCATCAGCCTGCAATTCTCATATTGGTGCAGTTGTTTTACAAGGGTTAGTTTTTTCAGTGTCCCATAACTGTGATTTTTAAAAAGGATTATATTCATTATACCCATAATATTTCCGTCCTTCAGATCTGAATACAATGCATTCTGGAGATGTGTTCAAGCTGGGGCCACTTACCTCTTTGTACAGCTTTGCAAAGTAAGTAGTAATCTTGCATGCTATAAATGTTGCAAAGCTATAAAGTGTGTCTTGACACTACGATCAGTGTTACTGTTTTGACACTTACAGATGCTGTTTCTTGCCACATTTTTTCCCACCTGGGAAGGAGGAGCTGGAGTATATGACTTTGTTGGGGTAAACTGCCTACATGCATTTCCCATGCACACTCAGTTAGGCAGTCACTCACGCATATAGTTAGTTTTATTATGTTTGAGTGTACATTTGACTCCCTGACATCTAGATAAGTTATATATCAGTATTAGTGGCTATAGCTTTTGGCTTTGCAAAAGAACATATATTCTGTTCATTTTCTTACTGCAAAATGAAACTGAAGATGCTATAAATTTTTACGAAGTGTCTTTATTCTGGCATAGTTTATTCACCACACCCGAGCAAATAACCTTAACTATTTATGTCAGTGTGTTTAATTACGATGTATACCTGTACTAATGATTGGTCATTTTTTCCATTTATTATTTAATCCCCTAGGAATTCATGAAGGCCACAGTGGACATGGCAGATCTGCTAGGACTTCACCTCGTCATGTCCAGAAACGCTGGGAAGGGAGAATACAAAATAATGGTGGCTGCTATGGGCTGGGCCACAGCTGAGTTGGTTATGTCAAGGTACTACGCGTATGCGACTGCACACATATTTTGTCCAAATTACTGCTTTCTCACATTGAAACAGTAGGACAAATCAGTGTTACCTGACCGCAGCAATAACGCTGCTGTCACGTAGCTGTGGCGGGTAACACTGGTAGCACTGCGTTGGAAGTATTCAATTGCATCATTAAGAACGCCTCGCTGCCAGTTTGGTTGGCAGGCTGGAATTCGGACATAGGTTGTCTCCTCACTGTTGCTGCAGCTCCAACCCTACCGGTAGATGAAGGCCAGGCAAAATAGATCTGAATGACCGCCGAAAAGATATGTGATCACTTTAGATACAGTCTCCAGAAAATACTACAGGAGGATTGGTGGATTGAATGTGTATAATCTGCATATTTATCAAGTTCAGAAAATTCAAATGTATGAGATTTTACAAAAACATGCTAATAACACTTTCCAAAACTGCCAAAGTTCTTAATTAAGAAACTATTCCACCTTAAACGGTGCAGCAGTTACATTCAGTCCTTATATATAGAAAAGAAAAAAGAAGCTAGCATAACAGGCATTAACAGTCTCAAGAAAACGCTATGGGGAAAAGATTAGCTTGATTGGTGGACTGGATCTATATAACCTGCAGATCTCCAAAGTTCAAATGATATTTATAGATAATAAATGTTTTGCAAACGTCACACAAAAATTTTGACATCCAGTTTACCTCAGTAAAAGTATTCTTAATCAATTGTGTTTTATGTGAACGCATCACTAAACTTTGGCTTGGAAAGTTTTAGTGACAGCTAATGAGCAACACAGAAAAGATATAATCAGCCACTGAAGCTGCCGGAGCTGTTGTCCCAAATCACACACTTCAGTACTTTACCGACTACACTAATAAGTGCACTTCTAATGGCCCAGGACTATTTTTGACATACTGTTTAGTGTGCTAGCAGAAGTAACACAACAGGAAATCTCAGCCAGTTAGATTTCAGCTTTCATTTGTTATTGTACAGCAACAAATCAAATAATCCAGGCATAGTACTTAATTGCTAAATTGCCATTAGCTTCTGCTGTATTACTAAAGACAGTGGATCACTCACTGTGATTAATACTCCTTAGAGCAGCTCTGTCTGCTTTTGAACGCTGAAAAAGGGGAAAAACTTGATTTGAAATTACTTGATTAAAAATTAAAACGGGAAAAACTTGATTTGATCTATAAACAGTTATTTATTGCTATGTATTTATTTCTAGGCTATTGTGTGTGCAATAAAAATCAAGCATTTTCATTTTATACTGATAGTTGTTGTTCTTGTGTTTATGTTCATGGATGTGTTTAACACTAGGAATGTGATGGTACAGTGGGCCCACAGTTCGGTATGTAACATGGTTTTTGGGCCATAGTAACGGTATGATTTTGGTATCTTTTTATCTAAGAAAAAATATCAAAACATCACCCTGTAAACAATGAGCTTCATTTTGCCTATAGACAAATAAAACATTCCATTCAGAAATATTGGCAGCATGACTAACTAGGCTAGTTTCTGTCTGTACAAATGAAATCATTGGGAGAAATCCAATAAAATTGAGTGCTTCTTAGCTTTGTCAACCTGTAGGAGCTTTGCCTTCTCTAATTTAAATAATTAATAAAGAGAATTATTTAGTGTCTTTCAATTTATTTTCAATTTCTCTCTGTGATGTTTCATAGCGTTTGGGAATTACTTTGCTGCTGAAATGTGTGAGGGACAGGACATTGTAAAGGCCACTGCACACCGGATGAGCCGCATAGCGTCATGTAGCATAGCGCTGCTATAGAACACCAGCAGAGAGAACCAATAATAGGTTCAAGTTCATTTTTACAAACTACTCTTATAAATAGAATGAAACAAAGCTTTCAGCATTACTTATTATATCCGTTTACTACCTCTTCACAAACTTGCTGTTTTCGAGCTGAAAGGTACGAGCTAAAAATAGCTAGGCTAGTAATATTAGTTGAGATAACTTACCAGTAGCTAAATATTGGCTGCCATCACGCTGAGTCACGTTGACTTGGAAATATTGCACTTACCATTGTTGTGTTGGAGCTGAGAGAATGTTTTTTTTAGCTCTCCTTCTTTTCTCCAGCTTGAATTTGTGTACAGAGCGCTGACGGGCTTCAGAGATGTTCTGTGGATCTGAATGTCTGCAGCGCAATAAGCAAGTTTTGGAAATGATAGGAAAATGACAGACATATCGCAATATCATGGTTCAGATGTGGATATTGAACTGTAGGGGGCGTACTGAGCAGATCAATAATATACCATTATAATGTACCATTGCATCCCTAGTTCACAAGCATTTACATAACAGGTAGTTTGATCATTACCTCACGTCATCATTAATATTGTTAATTAACAGGTGCATTCCTTTGTGGGTGGGAGCTCGAGGCATTGAGTTTGATTGGAAATACATCCAAATGAGCTTTGACTCCAACATCAGTTTGGTAAGTAAAGATGCATTTGTTTTGCTTAATTGCTGTTTTGATTAAGCAGCCAGTTGTCTCAAAAGAGGACCTAAGTTAATTTCAGCAGTGCCTATTTATTATTTACGTCCATATAAAATCGCTGTATAAAATGAAAAACTCTTAGCAAGTGAATTATTAATGCACCATTAATTAAAGACTAGTTGTTCCTGTAAGAGCTGTCTATTACCTAGAGCAGCCGTTCATACAATACCTTGCTTAACAAGTTGTTCGGCTTAAAGTACGACCCTATGGGAATCATTAGACCCATGCAGAGGCGTCAGGTAAGAGATGCGTGTGTTTATAGCAGTTGGTTAGAGTTTGTCAGAATTGTGACAGACATGTTTGCTGTTGCAAAGAGTTATGCTTAATGATTTTGAAGGACATCGAGTGTCGCAAGCTATTGTTTCAGATAGCTAGCTAGCACATGATTTAATTCTGATGTACAGTTGGATGCAAATTACATTTTGTTGTTTTTTGACGTGCAAAAAAAGTGAACACTCTGAAGTAAACTGCTTAAAAATGACTTTTTTTGCAAATGTTAATGTACAGTTAGTTTGTATATCATTAACTTTTAATGAACTATATTTCATTAAAACTTTCAGATAGTAATTTTAGGGGTTAGAGTTAATGGAAGAAAACTTCTCTTGCAACCTCACTACTAAAATCGGTGCAGAAGTCTGGAAAATAACATCTAGATAAACCAAAGGCCTTTTGGAAGCAATTGCTGTGGACTGGTGAAGTAAAAATGGAACTCTTTAGCCACAGTCGTTAAAGGGGAAAAAATAGTAGCATTTGATGAAAAGAACACCTTGCCAACTGTTAAGCACGGAGTGAATCTGTTATGCTTTGGGTTTGAGTGGCATGGACAGATGGAAGAATCTATTCCATAAAATTTCAGCAAATTCTGGAAGCAGATGTGACACGGTGAAGAGCAAAGCAAAGCAAAGTTTATTTATATAGCGCTTTTTACAACAGGTGTTGTCACAAAGCAGCTTTACAGAAAAATCAGCATTACAGAAAGAAATCCGGGTCCAAACCCCCATGAGCAAGTCAGTGGCAACAGTGGCAAGGAAAAACTCCCTAAGAGCACCTCTTAATTTATTGAAACACAGATATATATATATATAAATATATATATATATATATATACACACACACACACACACACACACACACACAGCTCCTACACCCGCACCTTCCCCTCTTCTTTCTAGCTTCTCTACATAAGGGGTTAATGGGATAGAAGGGTCAAGAGCAGTTTGTTCTTGCATACATAAGCACTTCTGAGAGATTTTCTAAAATGTCCCATTTCTCTTTTTCTCCTTTGAGGCCCTCTCCAGATTTAGACTCGGACTACATGTTTCAATCAGGGTTTAAATGTCAGACGTTTATGAGCATTAATTCTAATGTTAGACATGGAAATGTTACACTCAGATTTGCATTTTCCATCACATTTCCTAGTTCATAAGTTACTTAGTATAAAGTGTGTAAAGTTACACACAAGTTATTAAGATAGCTTATTTAAAACTTGCCTGAATGATGTGCCGACTACAAAAATGACTTGTTGAACTAGGCTGCCACCCACACACCCGTCTCCCTGGGTAGGCTGGGAATTTGTAATTTAAAAATATACTTTAGCAACGGCTGAAATGTGGAGTTATACATTCCCTGTTTGAGTGGAGCAATCGCCGATCTGTTCTCCTGTGACCAAGTGTGAGTGACAAGATAAGTGGCGTAACTCTACTGGCTTAGAGTGAACTCACCTCTTTCCTTACATTCTAACTTAACAAGTTTTACCGGCGTTAAATCACGTCTGCTCCACACAACTAAAGCGCTGTTACAACGCTCCGTCATATTTAAGTATTAGTGCATTCCCAAGCAACGAAAGTGAAAGAAAGAAGTGGGTTCATGTTTGTTACAGCCCTGATTTAAACAAAAGTGAACTGAGGAAGCTGTGAGGCATTGGAGAATGGGAGAGCACGATCTTTCCAGGCTAGCTGTTTTTAGCAGCTGGCTAAGTTGAAGCAGCGCTCTGTCACTCGCACAGCACAGTGAACTGATGATACTGTAGATCAAACAAGACACAATAGGACCGCTTTCAGTTTAAACGTAGCTAAAAGTCGGACTCTGTCTGGTGTTAGATATATTTCGGTTCACCCCTCAAACTACTATAGAGAAATCCAGTTGTCTGTTAGCTGATGTCTGAACACTGTGATGTGCTGACATGGATGTGGTAGGAGTGATGGCAGTAAGGCAGTGTGATCCATCACTGACGTACTGAGCCAGCTAATGTTTGTTGTACGCACTAAGTTGACATTGTTGAGAAACTAAACAGTTTAGCTCTGTTGTTGGCCACTTGTTTAGCATTTGTAACGGGATAGCCAAGCATTCGTCACCAGACAGCTAAAATAATCAGTTTTCTTTCTTAAATTATGACAATTACAAAAACTGCGGCTGTGTTTTTCCAGCTGATAAAAACAGTTCACCAGAAACTTTCTCCCACTGTCCCTTGACAGATTTGTGTAATGTTCCACTGTCTGGTGAGTGTTTGTCATGTTCTGACCATAAAGCATAGTTTAAAACAGCAATTAACCACCCAGGAGCAAAAATCAGCCTTCAAACTTGACAGAAATAATGATTTGACATTTATCGTGATATGTATCGATATCGAACAATATGAATTTTGTTTATCGTGATAACATTTTTGGCCATATCGCCCAGCTCTACTTTCTCTTCTCCAATAAACATCTCATCTTTGAATTAGAGCAGCCTAGCACTGAACAGTATTGCCTTTCTAATTCTTTACAATTTTTTTTTTTCACTTTTCTCATAGTAGCAAGCTTTAACATACCAAAGCCACGTCTGAAACATTAGATAAAACTTAATTTCCGTCTGTTTTCCTCAGTTTAAACTGCCTAAGCTGTAGCCCATGGCCTCAGTAAATATATTGGCAGAGCTGACATAGGCAAATCAAGAAAAGCAAGTACAAAGAGATGTTATTTTTGAAATTTGGAGTTTGGACATTACATTATCCCAGAATTACTGGCATACTAGTGCTACTTTGACTAGTAAAACTGGTGAAACAAGTCATTATAGGAAGGTCTGTCCATGATTTTGCTATAGTTTGTGTGCGATGCTTGAAAGACTTAGTCTGTGTCTCTGTTTCTACAGGTTCACTACATTGCTATGGCTGCAGTAGTATGGATGTTCACACGGTATGACCTTCCAAAAAGCTTCCGCTTGCCTGTAACTGTACTGCTGGGACTTTGCGTTTACAAGGCCTTCCTAATGGAGTGAGTACCTGACCTTTCAGTACAATATTATGCCATACCAATATGTCAATTATAGGTCATTTTAATAAAATCGGTACAGTACAAATTCCAATTCTTTAGGTCCATTCATACAGCAGTAAGTACTAAGCCTTCATTATGCTGTGACAAAAGCAAAAGCTGCTCTTGGAGATGCTAACAACATCTGCAAGGAAGCTGAAGACCAATCCTGTTGTTGCCAAAAGCTCATAAATATTAAGTAGAGCACAAATAAAATAATGTTTCTTTTTTTTTTCATTTGAACAATCAAGTTTGGTATGCCCTTGCATAGTTTGGTATGCCCTTTTATTATCACTTGCACACGTGATCGAATTAATTTACCGTCATCTGACAATATTGCACAAATAGGTCATGCTTGCTGTGTAAAGGCCTTTAGGCTTTGCATGTCCAAGAGCAGAATACAGGCAATTACCGCTCTATATGCCAGACCTCCTTTCACAACTTTTATTTCTCTTTAGCATGTCATCTAACACTTGGTGGCCAAACATCATCAGCTAATTCATTACAATTTTTTGGAAAATGTTTGGTTATTTTTGTGTTTGTGTTGCATAATATTATAACATCAAGAACAATTGTCAGGCTACATTGTTATATTTGTTTGCACTTTAAATTATATGGTCAGTGAAAATTTTGTGGCAAAATTTCAGTGAAGACTGTGGTACTTCAGCACAGGACTTGTGGCACCTAGTTTTACAGTAAAGCTCATGATACTGTAAGTTTTGACGTATTATTACAATATTATTACAATCACTCTGTAACGTGTGTTTTCCACGAGATGCTGTATAAAATTGCATAACATACTTAAACACAGTACATTATTGTAGAAATTACAGAAATGCTTAACAGTCTCATTAATAATGTTCACCCTTTCAGCATTTTTCAGATTTGCATTTCATTGCTGTTGGTCAACCATGTACGTACACTTTCAGAATAATCCAAAGCACTTAGAACTACATACGCTTATTGTGTTTTATTCCTTCTGTCTGTAGATTGTTTGTTCATGTGTTCCTCCTTGGGAGCTGGACGGCTCTGTTGGTGAAGGCGGTGCTCACCGGTGCCATCTCCCTCTGTTCTCTCTTCCTCTTCATCACACTGGTTCACAGCAACTGAGGCTTTTCTCATGTTGCTACACGTTCAGGTATTTTTGAAGAAAATACCCACAATGCCATATAGGACATTTTTGTCTTAACAGAGGGGCCAGCCAGATTGTTAGTACTGTAATTGTGTTTTGTATGTCTGTCAAATTAAATTAAAATTGTACAGAAATCTGTTCTTCATTTTCTTCTTTTATTAATTTATTCAGGAATGAGCTGAAAAATGAACATTTTTGTTACTGAAGCATGCGGAATTAGTCATGTTTATGGTCATTTGCGGTCATTAAATTGGAACTGAGCATCTTTGTGACCTGTGTTTCAACCATGTTGTTGTAATCTTGTTGGCACATAAGCAATGGCAGACTGTCGGGTTACTGTCAGGCTAATACAAGTTACAAGGCATTGCTTGTTCTATTTTCATTATGGTAACTGAACAAAATTGTAGTTAATGTACTAGTACTATTATTAGTTTCTCAGCTTTATCTAATGTGTCCATCTAACCCCACAGTGGCAACAAAACACATAATTGTGCCTTTTGTCCTGTGCTTTTTGAGGTAGAGGGTGGGCGGGGAAGAGAGTAGCTGGAATAGTGCCTTAGTATTTATTTGAGTTAGGTCATCAGGTCAAAAGAACTGCCCACGAAGGATGCACTAGTGTGGGGGACTGTTAAAAGCTAGAATTAAGCTTGCGATTGCAGCACTGGCCAGTGTGTTGCATCATATCACTTTTCAGAATTAGAATCTAAGGGTAATTGAGCAGTAATCTGGTTTAAAACCATATCACAGGATATCATATGTGCATTAGGAATGAACGTTTTCTGGTGTGTCCCAGTCTGATCCAGAGAATCTGTATCAGAGCCGACCTAGTTCCAATCTTTTGTTAAAGGGCTAAAGGATCAGGGAAAATATCTCACTGCAATTTTTCTGACCAATATTGCATTTTATTATTGTCTATAAAATATGGATTTTGAATGCTGGGTGCCAGTTTTATTCCCCACTTACAACAGTGTTAGAATTGCATTTCAGTACTAATTGGTTGCCAACTTATCAGATTGGATTATCGGTCAAGTTGGATAATAAGTCAATATTAAACACATGAACATACGATAATAAAAATGTAGCTTCAGGGTGTCACACAAAGAAATTTTACTGTAGTATTATCTGGCAGCTTAGCATGTCTTAAATGTATTGTAATGTACTTGAAGTGTGCTCCTGCATTATCTATAAAAATGCGAATGTGAGATCGTACTCTGTACCTGCAGACTATAATGTACGTATCAGCTCAGGGTTTGGGTGTGGAAAGTAGGTAAAGAAACATAGTTGTACCAAAATTACATGTTTTACAAGATGGCTATAATAGCACAAGTGTAGAAGAATGTTATGTCACAAGCATTAACTTTTTATTAAAGGTTTCTGGCAAGTTTTCTTTCTCATTCTATGCCTCATAAAAGCCTATGGAAGACAAATTGTTGGAAATTTCCTTTTGGAATTCCTTTGGAATAATAGGCATTGTTTGTGTCACTGCTGGACTGAGAATAGTCCACCAACCAAATATGCAGCCAACAGTGTCCTGTGGGCAGCATCCTGTGACCACTGATGAAGAACTAGAGGATGACTCACACAAACTGTGCAGCAACAGATGAGCTATCGTCTCTGACTTTACATCTACAAGGTGGACCAACTTTGTTAGGAGTGTCTAATAGAGTGGACAGTGAGTGGACACAGTGTTTAAAAAACTTCAGCAGCACTGCTGTGTCTGATCCATTCGGACCAGTACAACGTCAGTGTTGTTGTGCTGAGAATGATCCACTTGCTCTGTGGGGGTCCTAACCATTGAAGAAAAGGGTGAAAGGGCTTAACAAAGTGTGCAGAGAAACAGATGGACTACAGTCTGTAATTGTAGGACTGCAAAGTGCACCTATATAATAAGTGGAGCTGATAAAATAGAGAGTGTAGATACAAGAAGGTATGCTCAATGAAGTGACCGGTCAATATATATATGTGTGTGTGTGTGTGTGTGTGTGTTTTAGGCCAAAACATCTCAAAACTATCATAAAGCAACAGCATATATTTCAACATTTCTGTGAGGAAGATTTTAGGTAGTAAATGCTTCGGACGTCTGGTTCCTATCACCCCCACTGTAAACAATTCGGACTCGGTACGTTTCTGTAGAATGCAGTATTTCACATAAAACCACTCTGAACGACTTGACGACTGAATTGTCCATTCATTCGGAAAACTCCCCTTTAAAAGCTTGTCTAAAAACCCTGGAAACCTATCCTTTGCCTCTCACTCCTGTGTGCAGGTCAGTATCCCACACTTATCCACTTACAGTACAAAAAGCGTAGCAACTGCTCTGGTAGCAAGTTTCCTTCACTGAATTCCAGCGGGGCATTTTCTGCAGTCTACAGCAAAAGACTGAGCAAATTCAGCACTGAGGAAAGCACAAATGAAGCCATTTAGGCTACTTTTACCCTTACCCTCAATAAGCAGGTCTTTCTGTGTTATGAAATGTCAGGAAAAAAACAGTATTGCTGTATATGCTAGCTGTATATCTGTATATGATAGCTATAGCTAGTATATACTGCATTTGCTGGCGTCTTCTCCCAGCTGAGGAAACCCATTGAACCCATCAAGTGTTTCTGTTGGTTCCTGAAGGTTTTGTAATGTATTTCGGCTTTCTAGATGGGTTGATATCACAATGTAAAGGATACTAATAGTTTAACAAGTGAGCAAAGCCTGTTCTGGTTTCCTCATGGGATCTAAAGGTGTTCTACAGGAAGCTAAAGTATTAGGTTTTAATCCGAAGTTTCTGTGGTCCTATTCTAAGCAGGGCTTATCTGAAGTATGAATGCAGATGAAGGGGGGAAAAACTAGTTTGTACAGTGTCAGGAGGGCCGGTTTTCTCAGTCCTACAAGAGAACACATTCACTACCTCAGACAGAACCTCACTGCACTGTATATCCTGTCAGTATGGCAAGTGAGGACTTGTACCTGTACTTCCACGGACTTCTTCTCCCCAAGATCGTCCACTCAGAGGACAGCCTGAACTATTTTAGGACTTTCAGAGTTCAAGACGACGACGTATTTGTTATTTCATATCCCAAGTCTGGTGAGTAAGAGGCTACAGCCTTATTTTTCCCTCGTTTTGCTCAAGCGTGAATGTTGCAACGTTGCTTAACCCTCGTGTGCAAAGAGGCGATTTTGTTTTTGTCCTCGTCTGAGCGCAGACAGTGGCACCGGATGAGACGTTACTGAAACGTTATTATTGCACAGGGGAAGTTGCACACTGGTCCTCAGGCCGGCTTTATATTCATTCGAGTGGTCATTACTTTTTACACATTTGCGCTGGAGAAGCTTCGAGGGCAGCCAGGTCCTTTACTGAGCATCTAAATTCGAGCTCCCAGCAGTAGAACCTCACTGCTTTTTCATGGAGGATAAGAACTATATCATATACCACGGGCTGAAGTGCCCTAAGGAGAGTCACAGCCTTCAAAGCTTAAAATATTTTGAGAACTTCCAAGTCGACGATCAAGATATCTTCTGCATCTCTTATCCAAAATCTGGTAAGTAGTTGCTAAAATATGCAGGTTTTTTTTTCCCCCCATCTAGTAGGGGTGCAACGAAACAAACATGTCACGATACGATACGATATGATACGTATTGGTGTTTTTTTGCGATACATTTTCAATACCGATTTAGAAAAGAATGCTAACAACTTTTGTATATTATTTATTTATTGATATTGCATATCATCTATCTTTTTATTTATTTTTTTGGTAATTCTAATTTTTTTTGTCTAAAAGCTTTTTTACCCCATAGCTATGCTGATGACACCCAGTTATACATTTCCATTCCTTCTGATAATCAAGAATCATGAAAAAATGGAAATACTGATCGTTGGTACAGAAACTCAGAGAAACCTGGTTCTTTAGCTTCATATACCAAACCTGAAGTACAAAATCTGGATGTGATCTTAGACTCTGAGCTCTGTTTTATCTTGCATGTAAACACAGTTGGCTTTTTATCATTTGAGAAATATCGCTAAAGTTTGGCCTTTTCTATCTCAGAGAAACTTGTTCATGTATTTGTTGCAAGCAGAGTTGATCACTGTAATGCTCTTCTTACTGGGCTCCCTAAGAAAACAATACATCCTTCACAACTCATACAAAATACATGAGCATCCTAACAAAGACAAAACAAAGAGATCACTCCCATTTTAAAAGAACTGCACTGGCTGCCTGTATCGTTCAGGATAGATTTTAAAGTGCTGCTACTAGTTTTTAAGGCTCTAAATGACCTTAAAGCTTACATCACAGAGTCTCTGTCTGTTTATGTTCCAACACATGATCCTAGATCTGTAAATACTGGCATTCTGCAAACACCTTCTGTAAAATACAGAAAACATGGAGAGGCCAGTTATTCAGCTTCTAAACTGTGGAGCTCAGTTCAGACAGTCAAGCTCAGTGCTCACTTTTAAGAAGCATATAAGAACGTATCTCTTTAACTTAGCATTTAATTAAAACTCTACGTCTTCTGGTATTTTTCTTTTAATTTCATCTGTGTTATTGTCTTATATGATTTTAAATCAATACTTATAATTTCTTCTATTACTGTTAAGCTTTATAACCTGTCTGTAAAGCACTTTGAGCTGCCACTAGCATGAAAAGTGCTATATATTATTATTATTATTATTATTATTAAAAGACAACAGTGCTTGTTGAAGAGAGAACTGGCACAAGTCATTTTCTTAGAAGATCAATTAACAATAATGTAAAAGTGCAAGATGTGTTATCAAGCATGTGTTATCAAGTTTTATAATAACAAAAGTAAACAAAAATAAAGTTACATGTCAGAATTAAACACAATGAGTTTATTTATAGTCAGATCTTGTGTTTGGGTTTTACCTTCTGGCAAAACAATTGTTACTATATGTATCATGACACCCCTACCAGCTAGACAGTATTTTGGTCAGGATGGTTGATAATCATCTTCTAAAGAAACCAAACAAAATATGGAATATGGGTTTATCACTGGTTTCTTTTCAGGTACAACATGGATGCAAGAAATTGTTCCCTTGCTTCTCAATGGCGGAGACTTCACTCCAGTGGAGAGCATCCCAAACTGGGACAGGGTGCCCTGGCTCGAGGAGACACGGGCTGTCCTGGTCATGGACAAGCTGAGGGCTCCAAGGACCATGGTCTCCCACATGCTCTACCATCTGATGCCTTCCACCTTCTCGTCTTCTAAGGCAAAGGTAAAAAATGCAACAACAAGCAGATGTTCTATCAGTGGTATGAACAGCAGTTCAGGTATTTAATCTTAACTACTCAGAAAGATTATTCCAAGATAATGTCTGTTTTTGGCTCAGGTCACATAGTTTCATCTGTTGTTCCCACCTCAAAAATGTTGACAGCTTAGGACATTCATTTTTCTCTTCACTGATGGTGTAAGATAACGTCTAAATAAAAAAGTAAACATAATTATGCATAAGATCACTGCTTTACATCTGCACTTACTTATTCTTATACCCCTTGTGTCTTTACGTTCATACGTAGGTCATTTATATTGCAAGGAACCCAAAAGATGTATTGGTGTCTTCCTTTTATTTCCACCAAATGGCCAGTTTTCTGGATGATCCAGGAACGTTTGAAGAATTTATGGACAAGTTCCTCGCAGGGCAGGGTGAGAGGCTCAATCAGACACTATTATCAATTGTAGAATTATTGCACAATAGAATACTTGATGTGATTTTGTTGTTCAGTTCTTTTTGGAAAGTGGACTGACCATGTGAAGAGCTGGAGAAACACTGATCTAGGAGATCGGATTCTCTACATCACTTATGAGGAGCTGATTCAGGTAAAGTGTTTCTGTTTCCAGTTATTCTGTATGTACTGAGGTAGTGTTAGTGGGCTATATGAGGGGGAATTAATTTACTTGTTCACACCAGCCTTGCGCTGCAAATTGCAATGATAACGATTTAACTAATGTTACAAGACTTCAAAAGCTTTGATACACTTTATTAAAAATCAGTGTATATGAACTTCTGCAGTAGTGACAGTGAGTCATTTCACCAGCATGTCTGTACCGTTTTCTGAAAAGAAACGGACACTGTGTTAACTTAACACAGGACGCTCCTATAATTTAAGTAATATAATTTACTATAGGAGTTATAGGAGTGAGAAACGGAAGCTGGGATCTGGAGGGTCCTGGGCATTTAAGGAGGGTAAAATGGATCATATTCTACAGCCGGCATTTAATGTAGCTCAAAAAGTTATATGAAAACTGTCCCATTTAGGCCATGCTTTTTAGGGAGTTCAGTTTGGTGGTCTGCCAAAAAGCAGTGAATGTTTAAATCTGCAGTTGTTTTTTAATTTCTTCATACAATATTTGGACAAAAGTATTGGGACACCTACAGGAGCTTTTATGACATCCCATTCTAAATCCATAGGCATTAATATGGAGTTGGTCCCCCTTTGCAGCTATAACAGCTTCCATTCTTCTGGGAAGCTTTCTACAAGATTTTGGAGAGTGTCTGTGGGAATTTTGCCCATTCATACAGAAGAGCATTTGTGGGGCCAGATACTGTGATTGAACAAGAGTGCCTAGTTCATCCCAAAGGTATTTGATAGGGTTGAGGTCAGTGAAGTTCTTTCACACCAAGGTTAGCCAACCATTTATGAACCTTCCATTGTGCTGGAACAGAAAAGTGTCGTCCCCAAACTGTTCACACAAAGTTAGAAGCATACCATTGTCCAAAATCTCTTGGTCTGCTGAAGCATTAAGATTTCCCTTCACTGGAACTAAGGGTTCTAGACCAGCCCCTGAAAAACCTGGCATTCGTCAAACCCAGACCCGGTCATCATACTGCCAGATAGAGAAGTGTGATCCGTCAGTCCACAAATGCGTTTCCACTGCTCCAGAGTCCAGTGTTGGTGTGCTTTACTCCACTCCATCTGACGCTTGGCATTGATGCTTGGTGATGTAAGGCTTGCATGCAGCTGCTCAGCCATTGAAACCCATGCCATGAAGCACCCGGTTCACAGTTTTTGTGTGACACTTTGTGGCTGAGTTGCTGTGGTTCCTAAACACTTCCACTTTTCAGTAATACCGTTCACAGTTAAGCGTGGAATAAGCGAGGAGGGAAGAAATTTTGCAAACTGACTTTGTTGCAACAGTGACATCCTATTACAGAACCACGCTCGAATTCATTGAGTTCTTTGGAACGACCCATTCTTTCACAAATGTGTGTAAAGCCAGACTGCATGGCTGGGTGCTTGATTTTATACATCTGTGGCAATGGGACTGAATTAAACACCTGAAGTCAGTGTTTAAATGGTGTGCCCCAATCCTTTTGTCCGTATAGCATAACCTACAGCTTAACTTTCAACTGTCTTGTATGAACATATTGGCAACTGTTAACAAATATTCTGGGTGTAACAATACACAAAATGCAAAATTTGTTCCTGATACACGCCTGAATTTGTACCTTAAATTGTTAACATTTGCACCACACACACAGCATGCAGGGCACAGCGTAACAGTGCATATATGTTCAGCTTAGATGCCATTTTCAAGTTGAGATTCAATTTGATTTTCATGCTAAAAAGATTATACATACCTTTATTTATGTACTACACAGATTGATTTGGTTCAAATAAATAGAATTCTCCAACAGAACTGACGTGCCCCCAAAATCCCCAAAATCACAATCCCTAGAATTTATAATTGATTTAAACAAAGCCCGGATATTTTAACATGGGTGTGTGCATAACATAAACCCACCCCGCCACCCAAAGGCACCCAAATGCTCCCAATTGCACCCAAATGCTGGATAGAATATTGACAGTAATTTGCAGCCCTGGTCCTGGCCTGCTGCCCTGCACATTTTAGTGTCTTCCCTGCTTTAACAAACCCACTTCAGCTGTTTATAATGAGCTGATTTAATGGATCAAGTGTGATAGGAGCAGTGGGCCTCCAGGACCATTGATTCGGGAACCACTGAACATAATTAATGTCTGTTCAGAGCAGTTCTTTGTCCTGTGATTTATGGAATAATAATAAAAACATAATTTTCAGGATCTTCGTGGGGCTTTGGAGCGCATGTTACGCTTTCTTGGCCGGCAGATGAGCGAAGAAGCTCTGGATCGTGTTACTGAACACTGTCTGTTCAAAAACATGAAAAACAACAACATGTCCAACTATTCGCTGGTGCCACAGGAAGTCATGGATAGCAGCAAGTCAGCTTTCCTCAGAAAAGGTAAGCAGGTGAAAACATTTTGCCTCAAGCTGTTTTCTGAATGCTGTTCTCCTGAGGTGTAAAGCAGCACATGCTTTGAAAGGTGTGGTAGAGTTTGAGTCTCACTCCTGTTTTCTGTTCTTTCTAAGGAATTGCTGGAGATTGGAAGAATCACTTCAGCCCTGAGTTGGAGGCCAAATTCAATGAGGTCATTCGCAAAGAAATGGAGGAAAGTGGAATTAGTTTCCCTTGGGATGAGGAATAAAAAAAATTTTTTAATAAACTATAGAGTTATCATAAATCTAGTCAAAGTGAGAAATCACCTTATCCCTTATCATATTAAAGAGTTATGGTTTGTCTCGATTGCTAAGACACAAATCTCCTTTGTTATTTTCAGAAGTCTCCTTTTACAAACTTGTGTTTTCGGTGCTTTAACTGATTTTTCATAGACTTTTTAAAACAGTTAATACAGGTAAGACTGTAATTAAAGAAAACTGATTTACATAATAACAGACTTACCTGAAATGTTGTTGTGTAAAGATGATTTAGACAGTTCTATGCAAACGTTTTGGTGGGCTAGACAAATGATGTTTTGTTGATTTTCTAAGTGTATAAGTTAACAGATCCTCTACAGAGAACACACTTATGCTTATTTTAATGCACAATTTTCTGTTTATTTGCTGAATTTAACATATTGGAAAAAAGAGCATCAAATGTGAATTGTGCAAAAGTTTTGACACATTTATATTGTAAAGTGTTTAATATTTTCCAAGATGTTTAACTTAGCAAATAAGTAGAAATTTAAAATTGGCATAAAATATCGACAATTAAGTTTGTTCCTTGTTTGTATCAACTTATTTTCACCTAGAAAATCAACAAAACGTCATTTGACTGGGGGTCAATGCAATGACGCAATAAAAGTACAGTTACATTTTATTTAATTAGTATTAATATGAATACTAGTGTGTTACTTTGGGTTAGACCTTCTTACACCTTCTGACATGGATAAGCCATGAGTGATGACATGGACTATAATTGTTTTGTCCAAATTTCACTTGAAATTTTAGTTCAGTATGGTATACATGCTTCTGTTTGGGCCTCTCTGCCACAGTCTATCCTCCCCAGCTGACAGATACTTAGGGCTGAAAGATGAACACTTTTTATGTAGAAATCACAATTATATATTATATAAGTATAGAATTTGAAAGAAGCTGACTTTATCAACAACATTGTCTTAAGTGGGGAAATTTAACCTAGTAATATGGAGCTCATGAGCTGCCTGTAGTTGATTTGGAGCAATCGTAAGCAGCCAACACCCATGTGCTGTGTACATGACAACACTACAACAATTAACTGCCAGTCTGGCGCAGTGCATTCATCATTCAAGCCTCAAGATAAAAAATGGATGTGCTGGTGTTATTGCCTGAAATGTAAAATCGCAGTTACAATCACAATTAGATATTTTCTCTGAATTGCTTAGCGCTACTCAGGTCTAGGGTTCGGCTATAATTTGGGACAATGTGTGCCCCCTCCACTCTTGCCTTTGTTTCAAGAATATGAAAGAAAAAGAAAGAAAAAAGTAGGACAAATGTTTCTGAATGTTATGTATATTTCTATCTCTCTATATAAAATATAATAATAATATTTGGGGTATATAGTAAAGCACACCAAAATGTATCTCTAGTAAATCTACCAACCAGAAAACAGATTCCACCATGTAATGTTATTACACTTTTGCAGATTCTAGAATTATTGGTAGAACTTTAAAATAAGCCTACCCTTATAAAGGCTTTATAAATGGTTTAAAATTTGTACACATTAATACAACAGGAAAAAGTGAGCTGTTATATCTGATGAATATCACTATTAACCAAACAGCAGGTCACTGTGGCCATTGTTCTTTGAGTTGTAAATGCTTATTAATGATCTTAAGATCTTTAAGACATAATTAATGGCCATTAATAAACTCATTTTAAAGCACTCATGAACCACAGAAAGTGTTATTTTTAAAGTGCTGCCAAATTATTTGCAATAGTGTCGACAGATGCATGCAGCGTTAACAGACAACGAATAGGTTCCGTTTTGTGTTTTTTGGGTTGATTGATTGAAAGGATTTACTCACCTGATTGATGGAAATTGTTGCTTTTATGCTTTTTCTTTGAATCTTGTGGAGACAACTTTGCACAAGAAATTGTTCTCTTGGTCGGCAAACCTCAGCTTAGTGTTTGTGCTTTATCTGCTTTGAGAGTTTCTGAACTTCTGAATGGACAGCGGAGTAACTGAGAAAAACTAATATCAGTTAAGAGTTATGGGGTTTGCTTCAGCGGTCGTTCTGGATTGCACAAGGTGTGCAAAAATGCTGTTGAGCGTAGCCCCTTTGTCTGTTTATTGCAAAATTAGCACATGCTGAAACATACCATTCACACGCTATTTCTAACTCTTGTGCAAGGCGAAGGTTGCAAGAACAGTTCTGTGTAACGTAGACCACCAGCGCAAATGAACACCCAGACAGAATAATCATACACTATAAACAAATGCATTTGTAATATGAAATCTAATCTAACCTTAATCTCAACAGCATTATTGAAATGTTCATGAATATATAGATTAGTGATTAAACCAGTGTTGGGTTCTATTCTATTATACTGTGATTTCTGTTATTTTCAATTAGCAGCATTTACTTTATGGTACTTTTATAGCATTGTGATGATTAAAGTTCCATAAAACATCCTAAATGTGTGATTGCATTTTACAAACTGTTATAATGAGTTTAACCAGCTGCTAATATGAATACAGGCTATGCTGAACATTTCACACACTTTATAGATTTCTTTATCTCATATGGGAGTTTATGAGACTTAGTATCTTGGCATGCAACCTTAATTTCACATCCAGGAATGCAGTATCCCTTCCAACCATGTCATAAAATCATTCATCAGTCCTTGTGGAAATATTATTCCTTGTGATAACACAAATAAGTTCTTGCTCGCCCACTTGTCCACTTGTGTTACAAAGATGACTCAGAGTCCTGATGCTTGTAGAAGAAGGTTCAGATACATTCGTAATGTTTTGGAAGCTAATGCCTGAGCTTTCCTTGGCTGCTGGGAATATAAGAGTCAACTGTTGTACATTTAGTGCTAAATCTGTTTCAGAGACTGGTACGTCCAGTCTGGTCTGAGATGTGAAGGTGGATTTTAAACATGGCGTGTAATTTCAGGTTAAAATTTAATATGAGCTTTCTCTGACTGTTGGAAATGTAATGTACTGTTGCAAATTTCTCTTAGAACAGTTGTTCTTGGGGGGAAAAAGGATAATTTTGTTTTCTGAAGTGAAGTGTAGTTTTTGCCCACCAGGGTAAAGACCAAAAATTCATCCTCCCAAAATATATCTGTGATATTCACTTAACATATCTTATTGGTCCAACATATAGTTGTACAATTACAGACCGTCTGTTGTCAGAACTGCTGTTGTCCAGATATTATTTAAGTGGCAGGTCATTCTCAACAGAGCTGTGATGCTGATAGGTAAAAAGTGCAATGCAACGCAGAGCTATGCTGCCATCTCCTGGACAACACCACTGGTTTGCTCTGAAGGACATATTTTGGTTAGCCTCGAGTCTGGTCAGTTAATCTCGTCAATGGGGCTTGAGTCCAGCTGGGGATGTTACCATGGCAGCAGAAGGTCAAATGCCTGCCTCCAGAGAGTTATGGCTGGAAACCATCTTCATGTCCACTCAACAAATTGTCTTAGTCATGGTGTTTATTTGCTGTTCTGGTGGTACGGCCTACTGAAAAATCCCTTTTTATTGTGCATCTTTAAAGTGGGAGAAACCTTTCAGAAACTATTACCGCTTTGGGGTGAGTTTTTGGACTTTGGGCCAGGCTGTTTTGCTTTTTTTCCCGATTGAATGCTGAAGGAAGGCAGATAGCTAATGCTCACTAATAGGAAGCTCACTAGCATATTGCAGCAATATAACTATAGTAATTGTCCTCAAATCGCTGTTGTCGGAAGAAAACCTCAAATCTCCAAATGGCAGCTTTACAGGAAAAGGAAAAAACTATTTTTAATGTAACTCAATGGAACCAGACTTTTTTCCAAGTCGTTTTGGTACCGTTTCTTTTGGTCCATTCTTCATGAAATTTACACACAATGTAAAAGGCAACAGGTCTTTTCAAATTATGTCAAAAACTGAAAAATGACAAAAATGGAGATACGAGGTTTTCTTCCGACAGCAGCGAAATCCTCCTTTCGCTGGAGAGAATGGATTGCTCAAAGGACAAAAATGACTTGTCAGATGAGGACAACAAGCTAAAAGTTGGCTATCTAGATATCTTACCTCAGTTTGGCTTAAAAGGGTAAAAAAAACTTGTCTCTGGTATCCATTTTGAGCAAAATAAAGATAGAGTTGCTGTTTTCTTTACATTTTGGTTAGATTACTGAGGTAAGAGTTATGCTAATGCTAGCTTTGCTTGAATTTCTTAGCCTATAGATCAGTGGCTAGGCTAGCAGGCAGGATTGCTAGGCTAGCAAACAGGACACCACAGGGATTCCCAATAGTTGTATGACTTATTTGCGTGTTGCATGCTGATTATTGAGAAAAGACTGAGGAAAGAAAATTATATAAATCCATTTTATCAAACCAATTAGACAGAAGTATATATTGCTACGAAATACTGCATAAAACAACAAATGGCGCATCAAACTCTAGTTTTAGATCACATAGTAAGTCATGTAGTGTTCAGTTCTGTAGTGTAATACCACAAGTGGTAGTGAGCCTTGGTGTAAAGTAGTTTTAGGACAAATAGTAGTTTTTTAGACCAAAAACCTCTGAGCAACTCAGGCATCAGACAGTGTGTTCATAACCATTTCTTGTAATATCTTTTGGTAATGTATAGTTTTATATGTGTATTAAATACTTCAGATGTCTGGTTCCTCTCAGTGCTGTAATTAACAATTCTGACTGGGTAATTTTCTCTGGAACACAGCATTAAACATCAAACCACACTGAATGACTGTTTTAATGAAATTAATTATGCAGAAATGTAATAAAACTGCAGGCTTATTGTTTAGTTATTAGCCTTAAAATCTTAAAAAAAGAAAAAAATTTAAAATCTTATTGGTCCAAAATATAGCTGTACTATTACAGACCATCTGTTGTCAGAACTGCTGGTGTCCAGATTTTATTTAAGTGGCAGGTCATTCTCAACAGAGCTGTGATCCTGATAGGTAAACAGTGCAATGCAACTCAGAGCTATGCTGCCATCTCCTGGA